TGAATATATTTGCACCAGTGATATTGTCATTTAAATACGAAAAAAAAAAGTTTTACGTCAACATATTTACTTGTTTATTTTACGAAATATTTATGAATGAAATCTGCTACTGGTTTATATGTTCATATGAACATTTTAGCACTTCTGATGTCATGAAAAATGGGGAAGTTTTTTACAGCTTTTAATTTTTTAATTTCAATTACAAATGTTGTTGTTTAGAGAAATTGTGATGGATAGAATTTTGACAAAATTTGATAAGTAAGGTATTCATGAAGGTAGCTGAGAGTCTGGTTGACATTATGGACACGATAGAAGAATGACATGGTTGAAAAATATCATGCTTAAGCTCAGTGATCATAAACAAACTGTCTCAAGTAGGAATCGAACCAACCTTCTTATGAGGTATTAGGTTCAAGGTATCGAGAACTGCTTTAAATACTTGAAAATACCATTTACCTGTTTTGAAGTGTCAATATGATTAATTAGAAAAGTTTAATAAATTTTCAACAGCATGTCCATTGGCTAGACTAACTGTCATATTACCTGTACTCAATTGTTAATTTAATGAGAGATCGGCCTCAATTTAGGAATCGAATCTATGAACTCACATTATTAATGAATATTGATTTGCTGCTTAGCCTCCTAACCACAATGGTACTGCTCTTTTCCTGGCAGATTTGCTTAGTTATAAACAGGTCCCTTAAATTTCACTACCACAAGTAGAAAGTTAATAATTGCTAATTTTATTTATATACAATACAATTTTGCAACCAAAAAAAAAACACAATTTACTAACAGTTCATGTTCTATTTAAATTTATTCCTGATGCTGTAAGCTATTGATTTTATCTATTGGCACAACAACATTCCAATTTTGTTGAACATTACCACACAGGCTTTTAACCATTCCACAATGTTGACTATGAAATTCTAGAATATAAATATAGAATCTCATCTGGTGTGGGTGCCTTGAAATAAAATGAGGAATACAAATCAACAAAAAAAGTCAAATTAAAAAAAAAAGATCTGAAAGAAATCTCACAAAAATCAGAATAACAAGAGCTTTTAGGAACTTCCAAAAATATAAAGCTGCTACGAACAGAAAGAAAAACTTTTGTTTTGTTAGGAAAAAAAGATTCGAACTTTTTATTCAAATGTTGTTGATATCCATGGGAATATTTATGAGCAATGATTAAAATGTAAATTCACAAAAGGGAGTGAGCAAAATGACAAACAAAGCAAGTCCCTTTGTGTCTTGGTTTCAAAGCTAGATGATCAAAGTTAGAATTCAAATAAAGGTAATAATTAATTCTGACGAAGTCATACAAATATATTTTTTAATGAACGACTCCCGTAATGACAGAAAATATTGAGCAACAGACCACAAAACATCATTAGAGCTAAACAAAATCATAAAATTAGAAATGTTATTGATCATCTACACAATAAAAATTGCTGGCTCGTGCTGATTCTGTACACATCAAAAAACATCTCTTGGGCGATAACAAATTAAATTCCAAATTAATCTATGGTCATAGACTCTCATTATTTTCAATTTTATCATCCGAAATCGACATTGAATTCCAATTATACATCTCTGTGCCTCCGTTGAATCTCATTACCTGCATACAAAAAAATTTTCTCATCATTTTTTTCAAATCAACCAAAAAATATTTTGGATAATAAAAAACGAGAATCATAAAATATGGTATTTGAAATGGCGTAATATTCTCATTGATTACGCGTGAAGCACGGGCATGTAGAAAATGAGGAAGGAATTTGTTCTTTCTTCTTTTGCTAAGTAACGTGATTCCGTGTTTAAAATTTTTAAAAAATTGAATTGAAATTCACATGAAAGCAAAAATGAAAAGAGTAGAAATAGTCAAAGGTGGATTTACTTCATAATTTAGATAGCGCGGTTAATACGCGAGAAATTAAGTAATACTCGAACCAATGGCCTCATAAGGGGAAAGAGGTATGTTCGTTTGATTCAAACTCACACTTTTAAAAAGAAAAGTGTTCCAGAATTCTATAAGCTATGTTTCATAGTCCGTTGACCATACAGGCTCCACTCCCACAATACACTAGGTTCCAGTCTGACCCGAAACCAGGAACAACTGAACAATCAGCCTAGATTATTCCTTAACTCAATTCAAATCTAAATCGATCAAAAATCTGGTACCAAGCTAGTGCGAATCTTGATCCTCGCGACTTAGCGCCAGGTTTCTTTTCGACCAGCCGACTTGTGGCAATCGGATTCACTCTAGAGTCTAGACAATCACGCTAAAGAGTAAGAAAAGTTGAAATGAAAAAATTATATTTAGACAAGCAGGCATGTTTGAACCTGACATACATTTTCCCCTCTCTTTTCTTTCATCATTATGAAGATCGTCTCTATAGTTTCACATACACAATATACAAGACTACATTATTATGTACCGCATGTATTGCAATTCATATTTATCTCTGCTCTAATTAAAAAATTTGTCTTTCGCTAAATTCACCTGCTCTCTTTCCTTCGCATTCTTCCTATTCATATGCCAATCAACGCAACTGTTGAATGAGAAGCTCTGCTTGTGCTACGGGATGTTTTATGCAAAATAGGAATTCATACAAGGAAGTTTATTTTAATAGAAAATAATTTTAATTTAAAAATTTATCATCGTGAATAAAAATAAAAGACAGGAAAATTATAAAAGATGATGAAATCGTCATTGTTGTTGACTAATTAGATTTTTGTTTAGGAAGGATATGTACGAGGGTAGAAGGTTTTGACAGAAAATTGAGTACCTGAATGAAAAATGCACGCAGTTTAAAAATAAAAACTTTTGATTCAAAGATGCAAAACATTGCGTCAAAGATGCGAAAAATGTTTGAAAGATGCAAAAAATTGCGTCGAAGATGCGAAAAAATGCTTGAAAAGTGCAAACATTTGCCACTTGAATGTAAAATCAAAATCACATAAAAAATGGCGAAAAATTTGAAAAAACATGAAAAGTGTACACAGTTTAAAAATAAAAACTTTTGCTTCAAAGATGCAAAAAATTGCGTCAAAGACGCGAAAAAATGTTTAAAAGATGCAAAAAATTGCGTCGAAGATGCAAAAAAATGCTTGAAAGATGCAAACATTTGCCACTTGAATGTAAAATCAAAATCACATAAAAAATGGCGAAAATTTTGAAAAAAACATGAAAAATGTATACAGTTTAAAAATAAAAACTTTTGCTTCAAAGATGCAAAAATTGCGTCAAAGATGCGAAAAAATGTTTAAAAGATGCAAAAAAATTGCGTCGAAGATGCGAAAAAATGCTTGAAAGATGCAAACATTTGCCACTTGAATGTAAAATCAGAATCACATAAAAATGGCGAAAAATTTGAAAAAACATTAAAAATGTACACAGTTTAAAAGTAAAAACTTTTGCTTCAAAGATGCAAAAAATTGCGTCAAAGATGCAAAAAAATGTTTAAAAAATGCAAAAAAAAATTGCGTCGAAGATGCGAAAAAATGCTTGAAAGATGCAAACATTTGCCACTTGAATGTAAAATCAAAATCACATAAAAAAATGGCGAAAAGTTTGAAAAAACATGAAAACCTAGTTTTTATTCTGTATTTCACCTACAATTTTTTACATCAGAATCATTAGCAATAAAAATTATAGTCACTTTTATCGCATCAGAAAAAAATACCATAGAGAACAAATGTTGGCGGTGATAATTGAATGATAAATGATGAAGACATAAAATCTAGATTTAATGATATGATTTTCATATTTAATGTTATTTTTATTTTCATTATTTTCAGGAATTTCCAATGAAAACAAACATCATAGGATACAGCACAGACATAAATAAAGATGAGAATCATCAGCAAAAGCATCATCATCATCGGCAGTTACCCATCTCATTATAATAAACACATATTTCTGTGTGTATAATTAATTGAAATCCGCATTCATACGACTTGAATACAAATGAGACTAAAAATGCTCATTTTCACATTGTGATTGTGACGATGATGGGGTTTTAGTAAGTTTCGGTCTCGGAATATGTTTAATGTGCATTGTGAAAAAAGGATAATATTTATATAATAAATATGATTTATGAATTAAGCATAGTGAAATATAAATTATGTGATTTATGATTTTCATTTAATGTGACAAAAAAAAATGTCATGAATTAAACATTTATACAGTGGAAAAAGAAAAACATAAAAAGAAGGAGAAGTGAGAAAAAATACATATGTGCAATTAACTTGACACAGTAAAACAGAAATAGAAGGAAATTACACAAGAGTAAACAAAAACAAAACGAACTACAAGAAGAAAAAGAAAAAGAATTTTCATCTCATTTATATTTATGTGTGGATGTTCATGAACTGCTTTAAGACGAAACATGAGCGAAAAAAAAGAATGAATTTGTGTCAGACATGAATTGTATAAAAATATTATTATTGTCATATCAACAAATTGTGTTAATTTAACCAGTTCCTTTACTACTTCTATTTCCGTTAGTGTGTGTTTTTGAGGTAGGAATGATTTGTGATTCTTGGTGAGATTGAAATGGTTTTGGAATAAAAGTAAGACTATAATACGATCTTAATCGAACTTTCCTGAGTTTGCGAATGACAATGGTTCAAAAAATGAGTATTCATGCATGCCTGTTGTTGCATAGCAATTGAAGAAACTAAGACTGAGTTAAAAATGCTCTTAAAAATCATTTCAATCTCATAAATTTACAATATTTAAGACAGAGTTTGTCAATCGACTGATTAAATCTCAAGAAATCTTATCGTTTCAGGCAATAAAGCAATGTGACTAAAGAGTCAACGCCTAAAACGGATATAATAATTGATGCATCATAAATAAAACAAGAGATGAAATAAAATACAATTAATTAATCTTAGAAAGCAGTGAAGTGAAAATTTGCTCATTTTTCTTGTCAAACATGATATTTTGGTATTAAAGCGGAATGTTATACTTACATCTCCATTACTAATGAGTTTTCGGATAGATAAATTCAATATTAGATGGCTTTACTATAATGAAGTCAAACATTTGGATATTTTTATTGATCAGTATTACAAGTTATATTGGTGGTAAGTCTTGAATTATTTATTCTTATGTAGTAATCATCATATTATAATTTTTTAAAAATGGAACAAACGTGACCTATTTTTGGAAGTAATTTAATATTTATCTGTCAGCAGATAAGCATGCATATTATATAAATTGAGTCAATATTGTTCCATTTTATATAAAATATTCCATTTTCATTAATTAAGTGTGGACTAGCCCACTTCCCAAACTTTAACTTTTTGGATGGTCCAATTTTTAAAATGCAATTAATTCCAATTAATAATTCTGAAAAATTAATGACATATGAGCTGTTGATCCAAATCCAATTGATTAAAAGTCATTGATTTAATCATTAATAAAATTGTTTTAATGAAAAGACTTTTTAATTAATTTGATCTCATAATGATGTTAAGGAATAAAAGCACTGTTATTACTTTTAATTACGAGGATTAATACATGATAGGCTTATTGCGTAAGAGAAATAATAATGCTTACCCGAGTGACAAAAAGTTTATATTGACATGTTGGAGATACCTTGTTGAATTTGTCCGCTCGTAGGCTGATGACTCGTGGCAGATGCTGGGTTATAAGTCCAGAGATTATAAGTCCGATACAAAAATCATGCACAGAAAATTATAAGTCCAGAAAATAAAAGTGACTAAAGGTTTATAAGTCCAGATACAAAATGCAACTAAACTTAAAAACCTCACGTGCAGTTTATAAGTCCAGGTACAAATACAGCTGGAATTATAAACTGCACGAGAGGTTTTTAAGTCCAGGTACATTTTATATCTGGACTTATAAACCTTACGTGTGGTTCATAATTCCAGAAAATTTATAAATTTTACTTATAATCTCCCAGTGCGATTATAAGTCCAGATACATTTTTCTGGACTTATAATCCTTGAAAATTATTTGAAACTATTTCAACTTTTTTTTCTTTGTTAAGTCTCTGTTATTGAACTTTAGTGCCTTAAAGTTGAGCATCATAAAAAATCTTTATCACTAGATATTTACTGAATCCTAAATGTAGCAGCTGATGTTTTTAGCACTTTTAGAAGCATTTTAAATTAGCGATTTAAAAGAAATCAATCAGAAAATCCAAGATGACTGAAGTTTTTTCGACTTCATACATTCTCAATTTTACTCCAGCACCAGTTGGGTTTCGATCAACGCTACTTTTTTTACGTATATGAGAAAGTAATAAGATAGATCAGGAGCAGGACGAATCTTACATTTCTGTATACTCGTAATGAACATTTCATTTTTACTTTTCTTTAGTTTTTGTGAATTCTACAGATGAGTTGAATTTTAAAAAAATAAGCTTTTTTGATCCATATAATTTAAGAATTGGATTCGCTAAAAATGTAATTATGTTCACACCGTATTCACGTGCGAAAATCTTAATAAGTTATTATCAAGGGGTATAATGAAATACAGCAGCTTAAAAGGATATATAAGGTACTTTAGAGGAAAAAAATTATCAAATGTGAATTCTTTGTGAGAAGTTTTCAAAAATTCATGCGAAGCCTTAAAGAAAAAAATTTAAAATAAGTTAAATAAGTTTCAAATAATTTTCAAGGATTATAAGTCCAGAAAAATGTATCTTGACTTATAATCGCACTGGGAGATTATAAGAAAAATTTATAAATTTTCTGGAATTATAAACCACACGTAAGGTTAATAAGTCCAGATATAAAATTTACCTGCACTTAAAAACCTCTCGTGCAGTTTATAATTCCAGCTGTATTTGTACCTAAACTTATAAACTGCACGTGAGGTTTTTAAGTTCAGTTGCATTTTGTAGCTGGACTTATAAACCTTTAGTCACTTTTATTTTCTGGACTTATAATCTCTGGACTTATAGTTTCTGGACTTATAACCCAGCATCCTCGTGGCAACGTCAAGGCTACGTTGCTTTTGCGTTGCCACGATCATAAACTTTTTGTCTCTCGGGCTAGCGGCTCAACCTTTTGAGCTAGTGGTAATATGGTTCATCGGATATAGAACATATATGAGATTGTGGATTTTTAAACTTAAGATACGGTTAAGTCTCAGGCTTTATTCCTGTTCGAAATTCTTAAAACTTAAAGTTTGTGGTGGAATCTGAGCTTCTTACAAGCTACACATATTAAAAATAATTCAAAGAGACTTTAATCTTTTGAATTTTGTCACAATTTGGATGCATATTATGAAGTACGCTCAGCATTACACTCAGCAAACTTTCTAGTTTCCATTGATGCACATGTTACGAAACAGAATCCAGACTTTATATCATAACAAAAAATTCACAAGAATTTGAGATTCCACTATTTCATTTTTATAAAAATATCCAAACTTGTTGCCTAGCAGAGTCAATCCAATTTACAAAATTTTATATTTTAAATCCCTCAATTCTGTATCTGTGATAAATGATTAATGAGGCAATTAAAAATTCTACTCATTCTGATGCTTTTAATTTTCCACGAAAAGCTAAATGAAAAATGTTAATTTTGACTGAGGTTGAATACGAAATCTCGTAATGTTTCTAATGTATGCACACACACACACACATGCTTTAACATTTGCGATTTTTTTAATCCTTTAATCATTAGGATATTATTTTTTTAAATTAAATTACACGCGCAAGCATGAGAATAATTATTTATTTTTTTGCTACTTCTTCCTTCCATCCGCATTTTTGCTCTTGGTTGAACGTGATTCCTCACTTCTTTTATGAATGGCTGTAATTTGGTGATATAAATGACGTAAATTTGTGGAAAAATTGCTACATGTGTAAAATGTTTTTCTAAGTATTGAATTAGATTTAAAGAGCTGTTGAACTTTACAATTGCCACTGTTGTAAAGAAGATATTGAGGATGAAGAATTAGGAAGGTTTCAACAGATTTTCCTTAGGTTCTGTGAAGAAGTTTTCTAAAGATTAGTAACCTTCTTCCAATTTAATTATTTGTTCATTCACAAGACTTCAAACTTTGAATACTTCATGAGATACAGGTCTTAAATTGTGCAACAGTGTTACTAAAACCTTTAAGTGCCTCAATTTTATTCTTAGCATTAATAATTCTTAAATCTATATTATGTACGCTAGCTCAGTGAAGCGCATAATCTTCACTAAGCAGTTTTGTGTCCAGCAGCCAATTAAAAACTCTTAAGATCTTAAAACCAGTGTTCATGTCGGCTCTCGTTTAATTTTCAGTAGGTCACAATGTCTACAGGTCCGTTCCAATTAAAAGCTCTCGTTGTGTGAATTTACGGCTCTCGTATCTTCCTCATTCTGTCTACACAATCTTGACCCGTTCCTACATTTCACATCGACTAATTCTTAGTTTCACGTCTTAAACTGCTGTACCTAAGAAGCCAAAGTGTGCAAACTTCTGAAAAATCACTAAGCTGGTGGTGGGATTTGAACCCTGGAGTCCAAATTCAACACCAACTTTTGTGATCTGTAACTTACCATCTGAGCTATCAAGGCACTTTTGCTTCTGTGACAAGAGTTAAAATTAGTTATATTTTAAGATTAATCTCGACTTCATCTGGTGCTTACCATTTTGTAGAATGTTTTCTAAAACCTCAATCTAGAAATCCCTAATATGCAGATAGTACTGCCAAGATGCAGATGATACTGCTAAAGTGCAGATGAAATTTATTTTCCCTAAAATGCAGATGAAATGCTGTTGCTTTAAAAAAGGTATAATGCAGATGATTTGTATCGTATAAAGTGCAGATAAGATGCTGCCCAAATGTAGATCGTATAATTTTATTAAAATACATCATATTCGATGACTTTTTTTCTTGATACGTGTTAATAAAAAAAAATCCCATACAAGTTTTCACCTTCAAGTGATTTAAAATCCCAAAAAAATCCCTATACAAAATGATTTAAATCATAAATCAAAAATAAATCACTTGGGAAAGATGATTTAAATCCCCTCCATGCTAATTACATCAAAATTTCGTGGAGCAAAGTAATTTAAAGTCATAAAGTTTGCAATGTATTCAAAAATGCATTTTTGTTTTCCTGAACTTTTTTAATAACAGAACTAGTGTATCGGGTAGAAACCCAATGCGGATATATTCGCACCGTACCATCAAAAGTCTTGTGGAAAGACCAAGCTTAGCTCAGTATTAATTTGAAAGTATTAATCTTGACGAACCAGCTGAGCTGTGCTCAGGATATGTTTGGAAGTTTAAAGCTTAACGAGCATTCTTTAAATTTTTTTTTAAAAACATTTTTCATCCAAAGTTTAATTTTATAAAAATCACAGTAAACTTTTGTTTTAAAAAATTCGTAAGAAACGAAAGTTTTTTGCTTTTTCTGAAGCAACGACTGTTCCTACCTTGCCCAAAAACAATACAGCTATTTTATAGAGCAGCACGGATCAATTTTAAAAAACTAGAAGTCTCTACGATTAACTTGTTTGCTTGCTTGTTTGCTTGCTTGCTTACAGAAAGCATATTTTGCGATTTTCTCAGCAATGCCTTAATCTATTTGAAATCTGATTTTTGCAAAAGGTGTAAAATTTCAGGCAATATTTCTTCCAGGACCTTTTATAACCAATTTTGCTTCGTTTTCTCAAAAAATGTGAAAAACTGATGTTTCCATCTGAACAAAACCAATAGATTCACACGTGAAAACGGTGTGAATTTAAAAATACATTTGTAGATATATCAATGAAAGCTGACAAAGTTTTAACAAAATTCACAAAAAATATTTGTGAGTGGCGCTTAATTAAATTGATTTTCTGACATAACGTCTCAACGTAAGGAAGTAAGTTCTATGTCAAAAGAAAGCAATTTTTGTTTTTAACAAGATATAATAACTTTGAAATTTGTCACTATTGTGGTGTCGGAGATATTTAAGAAACCGAAGAGTCACTTAGGGGCCATTCAATTATTACGTAACGCTTTTAGGAGGAGGGGGGGTCTAAGATTTTGTTACGGTTCAAACAAGGAAATTTTTTTTTCATACAAATTTTGTTACGAGGGGGGGTCTAAGAAGTCATTTTTTCGCGTTACGTAATAAGTGAACAGCCCCTTACGAATAATTTTTTTTTCGTCGAGGCCCAAAAAATTAATATCCAATGTTAAATTATCTACATTATAACAGCATTTCATTTTTATTTTAATAAAATTATACGATCTACATTTGGGCAGCATCTTATCTGCACTCTATACGATACAAATCATCTGCATTATACCTTTTTTAAAGCAACAGCATTTCATCTGCATTTTAGGGAAAATAAATTTCATCTGCACTTTAGCAGTACCATCTGCATCTTGGCAGTACTATCTGCATATTAAGGTAGCTGCATTTTAGGGATTTCTAGATCGAGGTTTTTCTAAAAGTCATCCAGTGAAAGTTTTACATTTAAAAGCAATAAACTACAATCAATATTACAAAAAAAAAATAAAACATTTATTTGAATATTTTCTTGTATTTTTAACTTATTCTTATAAATTATCATGTGACATTATCATAACTCGTCTTAAAATCTATAAACATTTTAATTGCCTGTTGAATTACTTATTTTAAATAAACAAAGTAAAAAAAATTAAAACTCGAAAACAATTCTTCGAATTTTATAAGATGTTATTGCTTCAGATTGACATCGATAGTAATAGTTGGAATGTTTTCCTCATTTTTATGATGAATTACACCCACATGGGTTGCAAGGAATACATGGCCACCTAAATTTTTTTTAAAATACAGATTTTAATCAGATTTTTTTTGAAAGTTATTAAAATAAATTTGGACTTACCAGATGCTACACAAATTGGGTAAAAAAGAGAAAAATTATAAATAAATAATGTAATGCCGTTGCAGGAATAATAGAAGAAAAAAATATCTACAGTTTAAACTAGTGATCTTAGCATGACTGATATATCATCAGTCTTACCAACTACTTGGACTTGGTTCTAGCATAACAAACATCTACAATTGTTAATTGAAATTACACTTACCATGGAATGCAAGGACAGTTGCATGAAGGAGGTGTAGGATTTGGTCCAGGTGTTGTGGTTGTTTCAGGCGTTGTGATTGGTGGTCCTTGTGTTACTGTGGTTGGTACTACTATTTCACCACCATCTCCATCACAATCAGGGCACCATGGATCGCATGGTCTGTATTTTAGATATCACAATTAAAAGTCATTGAATGCTTATAATAATTAATTATACCTGAATATTGGTGGATTTGTCCAATTACATTGCACTCTCCATGTTCTGTCACTATAAAAAGTACATCTTGGTGGACTTACATTTGGATTGAAAACAGTTCCACATGCACAAGGTCTTGCCATTGCAACCCATGCTAAAGTTGCATTCCATGGCATGCATTGCCAGAAATAATTTGGATCAGGATGGGCAAATAAGGCATGATTTTGATGATTCTCAGGTAGAGTGCAATCGGGAGTTCCGCAATCTGGTGGAAATACTGGTGGTGGACAGTTTGGACATGTCTGTCCATAAACTGAAACACTGAAAAGTGCCAAAATTATGATCTCAACTGTGGATTTAAAAGTTTCAATTATTTCACTGCCATTTATTGATTTTTATTTCCAAAAACTCACTTTTCATGATTTCTCTTTCATTCGCGAAAGAGCTCTGTGACTGAATTTAGGCGACGGAACCGACATGCATTTGCTTTTATACACAACTTTTTTCTGCCGCAAAACATTGCAAATCAATGGAATGTGATAAGATAAATGCGGTTTGTACTTCCTCTGCAAATTAATTGTGGAGAATATGTTTATCAATTTTGATGCTATCATTCGATGTTAAATCTTTTTACACAATTTTATTGTGAAAGACCGAAATCAAAGGTTACAACTAATTGAGGCTATTTATATCCGTTTTTGGTGATTTTTTTTTTAGTATTGCAGAAATGCAATTTTTTTGATTATTTCATCAGCAAGATATATTCCAGGAATTCTTATCCAAACGACACAAGTGGACACAATTATTTGCACTATGTGTAGTCTATTTGGTGGATCCTCAGTGTAGCATTCATATGTGCAATCCCCGCTTTTTAGTAATTTGTGCAATTTAAAGTCACATTATTAAGGGGCTGTTCACTTATTACGTAACGCGAAAAAATGACTTCTTAGAACACCCCCCCCCTCGTAACAAAATTTGTATGAAAAAAAAATTTCCTTGTTTGAATCGTAACAAAATCTTAGACCCCCCCCACCTCCCCCTAAAAGCGTTACGTAATAAGTGAATGGCCCCTAATGTATTATTTGCAATCTAGTTCAATAGTTGAAAACACCAATAAGAATGGTTGTAAATAGGCATCGAAATGTACATTGCAGTGTGCAGGACACTGTTGAAGTCGAGACGAGTTTTATTTTGTTTACTTTGGTCAGTTAAAATTGTTTTCAAGCTCTATAAAAGATAAAACAAAACAGTTTATAGGAACAGCATTTAGGAAATGAATCAAGCTTATAGATATTTTGACTGTACTACTAATTATAATGACCTTAGGGGCCGTTCACTTATTACGTTACGCAAAAAAACGACTTTTTTCACCCCCCCCCCCCCCTCCCCCCCTTGTTGCAATATGTTACAACTCACACCCCCCCCCCCCCTGAACGTTCATAATTTATTTTATCATTAAAAAGGTGGAAAATTTAAAAAAAATGTTTTTGGTGTGAATTTGTAAACAATTTTTTTTCGTGAACTTTTTTTAAAAGACAGACGACAGTTGGAACGTTACATACTTCTTGATCCCCCCCCCCCCCATGTTACATTTTGTTACAAATTTTCAAACCCCCCCTCCCCCCTAAAATGCGAACGTAATAAGTGAACGGCCCCTTATCTGAACCTTATCTGAACAATTGTTTTTTGCAAAGTCATAATACAATCCCAAAGAGTACTTTACCAAATACCAGCAAAATACCTAAACCGTACCAAATAAAAAGGTCCAGAGCTTTAAAGAGATAACATTATGTGTTGTTATGCTAGAAGAGATGCTTCAAAAATATTTTTATTAGCTTATATTACTTTAGACATCCTAAAATCGAAACAATTTCCTCTTTCACACAAACGGCTATTGTCAATCTTTTTGTAATGGATATATACAAAATATCAACTGTGCATCAACTTTAAGATTTATTCAAACAGAAAATTTCTACTTCTTAAAATCAAACATATTTGGTCTGTTTTGGAGTTTGTGCAATGCTGACCTTTTGGTTTTAAATTGAGGCTTTCATGTATGTTTATGTATACAGTCCCTTTAGTCAACATTGTTTATACAATTTCTAAGGTTTCCGTTCAGAATGTTTAAGATTAATATGGGATACAAGAAAAATATTTAACCATGAATTTTACGAGAGCTTTTATGATGACAGATAAATAAATATTAAAGCAATGAACTTGTAGAAGTTAATAATATTCAATTTGTATTAAAGTCAAAGTTATTTTCTGTGTCTGTTTCTTCTTGGCAGTCGAAATTTCTGAAATACTTTCTTTAATTCTATATTATTTGTACGCATTTCCAGGAAATGTATTAAAACTAATTTAAATCTAATTGAAATTTTTCTCTTTGGAAAATCGCAAGACATAAATTATTCATTTGGGCGTGAAAAATTTCATTGGAAACTCAATGCGACAAGCAATTAACTTGTTTACATTCATCATAAAGAGAAATGAAAAGTTCTGCTGAAATAAAAGTAATAATTTTTCGAAAAAAAGGCATTAAAACTTTTATATGAATAATGTCCGTAAACAACAACGGTAGAAGCATCATGGCTATAAAAATCGTATTTCTATGTTACTCATTGAGTCATCTTTCCAGCACCCTCTCAATATTATTATTGTCTTCTTCCGCCTTCATGCGCTGATTGATGAGTTGTTTTTTCTGATATTTTTTTTTTCATGAAAAAATACATAAATTTAATAAAAAAATATCGTAAATATATAAACTGTCGCAGATGGTGCTGCTGTGGCGATGCTTTGTGTTCCTGCTTTTTGTATCTTTACACTTAAAAAATCAGTAGCTAACATGAACTTTTGCCAAGAAGTTTTTCTTTTTTTTTTTTTTGGAAACATTTTTGTGGTATCATGAGGATATCTGTCTGAGGCAAAGAATGTTAAGGATACACAAACTTTATGTTGCCGTCGGAACTATTTTTAAGATTAGGTAGACAGTTCTAAATGCAGATTGTCTGAATGATTTTTGAATTGAAATTGAATTTTGAAATTGAATCTTAATTTAATGTTGAATTTTTCAAGTTCGTTAAAATTTGAAATTTTAAAGTCCGATAAATTTGGTTTTTTAAAGTCCGTTAAAATTTGAATGTAAAAAGTTTGCTAAATTTTGAATTTTGGAACTAAAGTAACGACAGTAAAATATGCTTTTATCTCCACCGCGACCTAAAAGTCTTCAAACTTATCATTTTCTCGACAAAACTTTACATAACCCCCGAGGGTGTAGACCGTAAGAAACAAAAAAATCCTCCAAAATTCATGAAAGAAGAGAACGGCAAAGCACTTTTGACATTAAAATGAGATATTGAAATATTTCATGAGGCTTCAAATGCGAAATTTGACATATAATGTGATTTTTAGATTTATGGAAAGTACACGTGAGGCATAACAACAACAACTATGTGTGTAAAGTGAAACGTTTTCTCATAAATTTATCAAGAAAATATAGTAAAACGAAATGTGAATGTGAGAACATCTTGTGAAGTACTTCTTGATAAAACAAGTCATTTAGGAAGAAAAGAAGTAGAAGTGAGAAGATTTTGAACTTTTCACAACCAAGAAAATTTTCTCCATTCAATTTAAAATTAATTTAATGCTGCGATGCAACCACTAAAAGGCTTTTGACAATGTTTTTAATTAATGAATTTTTTGTCTAGGTTTTCTCGGTTTTGAGTTGGAAGGAAAGTTTATGAGAGCTACTTTAGTCTGTGGCATCAGTGGTTTTGTATTTATAAATCAAGGGGGTTAGGGCCAACTTGAAACATGCCCCAGACACATCGTTCCTAACAGCATTTTAATATTTTCACATTTTTCAAAAATAATGTATAACATTAGTAATTTATTACAAATCTAGAATTTTTTAAAAAAAACTACGCCTGAAATTATGAAAATGTATAAATCATGAAATCAAAAAATTAATAAGGAAGAGAAGAGGAAATTTCATTACGTAAAACTTTTTAACCGTTGATGGAAAATTCACGTGGCGAATAAGGAAGCAACCTTGATAGGAGAAATTATCATCACTGCGGTAATTTTTTTTTCTCCATCATTCTAGAAAAAATTCCATCATTTCTGGTTTTTAATGAAAGCGTCTTATTTTGATGCTTTTGCGGAAAATTAACAGCGGGATACACGATTTTGTTTATGTGAGAAAATTAATAGACGGAGAGGAACTTTCTGTAAGCTGTGAGATTCAAATTGATTAAAAATTAAATATTTAAGTAGATTTGAAGTTTTGAAAGTTTGATAATTTTTTTAAGACATTTAAAAAAGGAGTGCCTATTAAAATAACGAATTTCAGAAATTCGAAACTTCATTTTTTTTACGACCATATCATTTTTATGGAAAAAATTTTTTTTGACTTTTTTTTATAAATTTTAAATTCTGAAATGTCGTTAATTTCATCACGTGTTCTCTTCAACAATAAATCTGCAAAAATCTTGCGGCTGGAAAGCCACAAAAGCATAGAATGCCAGGTTTTGAAAAGACAGAGAATTCCATTAAATCAATCATGAACCGTCGACAATCCGTGCCACGAGTTGAAACATTAAAGGCTATTGCAGTAGTCAAAAATGATTTAAGAGCTTAATTGTGTTTGTTACTCCTTTACACATACACATAAAGTTCATGAAATGTGATATTGAAAAAAAAATACGTTTTAATTCCATATATTTAAAAACATTTGTTCTATTAATCTTTTTTTTTTGCAGATTTATTATTGAAGAGAACACGTGATGAAATTAACGACATTTTAGAATTTGAAATTTATAAAAAAAGTCAAAAAAATAATTTTTCGTCAAAATCAGTCAAAATGATATGGTCGTAAAAATGAAGTGTTCGTAAAAATGAAGTTTTGAATTTTTAAAATTCGTTATTTTAATAGGCACTCTTAAAAAAGCTAGTTAAATACAATACTCGAAGTCGACTCGGGTTTTTTCGAGTAAAAAAAAAAATTTAAATTGAAAGAAATTTTAAACTTTCTTTATTGACTTTGGATTCAAAATTGGGACTTTACTGCTTAAAATTGCGCCGATTACAGAATATAAATCTCATCTTCTTCATCAAGTTAAGCTCCCTATCAAAGCGGAACCACATCTTTCAGTCAGCCATAATAGAAAGCACAGCAAAAAGTTTTAAATTCAAAAATTTTCATACACCATTCTGAATTATCTCCTCCGTTTCATGAATATGCTAAAGTTATCAATCATCCATGCAGCTTCTTCATTATTCATTGAATATTGAATGGTGAAAAAGAAAAATTAATTATATGGAATCGCTGCGGGAAGTCTTTAATAATTTATTTAAAAAATTTATTAAATTTTTCCCTTCACATTCAATTTTTTTTTTGGATGTTGTCATGACCTGATTCAAGGAGATGAGATCTTAAAGTCTTCAAAAAAAAAGAATGAATATAAGAGGATTGCTTCAAATATAGAATAAAAAGCTTCGAGCTCATCGTTTACCCTTTCTTCTTCGTAGAGATCTGTCAATATTAAGGATTGAATATGATGTATGCACTACGATTATTCTCAATATGTTTTTTCATCATAGATGATTCAAAGAAGTCTTTTTAAGCTTTTGAAAGCTTTTGATGAATAAGAAAATTTATTAAAGACTTTGAGAAGAGTTTTAATCGAAAAAATTTATATTTGCAGAGATGGGATTTGAGATATTCAAAATCCAACTTGATATCCCTTAGCTTTTAGCCAATTTTAGGAGGATTTTCTATTGAAATTTTATTTCAGAAAATACTGAGATTTTTTTTTTGGAATGATTGAAATCAATTTTGACTTTATACTCCTGTGCTTCTCAATATTTTAAAGTCAACCAGTAAATCTTTTGTTTTTCAATCCACGACAATGTAGCTGCTACTATTGATATACCTAGCATTAGCATTCATTGAGATATAGATTGAGAACCACTGTTAAATACTTTAATAGAATGTGAGCAGTGTCTATGAATGCAATTGAATCACAAAGACTGATTTCTAACCTTAATTTAGATATCATGATTCCTGATTGACAACTCTGCAATGTATGATGCATATTAAAAAGTGTTCGACAGATAAAAAGCTGATTGTAATGGAAATTTTCTGTTTATAAAAGCAGCTCAGTATATTATCTCATGTGATTGATATGCTTCGATGCTTTCATAAATTATATAATGAATTTTTTTAAGAGTTATCTAAATTAAATTACATGAGCTTAAAAACATGATACCTCTTATAAAAAAAGCTTAAAACATATAAGTTGAGATCGTTCACTGGACTTTTTTTTTTGAATAAATGTATCGAATTTGTTACCAAATTGTAGGGATAAATTCAAATATTTAAAAGTTTAAAATTACTATTTTCGATGCAAATCTACCAAAAAACAAACTAAGCTCATTTTTAACATTAAAAGCATTAAAAGCTCAATTTTCAAAACTCGACCACTCAATGCAAACAAATCAATAAAAATTAACATTTCAAAAACCAAACTCATCTGCTACATTTAATGGGTCATTTAATATTTATTTCAAAAAGTCACTCAAATAATTTTAATCCAAAAATAATCTATTAATTGACATATCAATTAAAAGCTTTATGCCACAAATTCACAACATCACAAATTTTGGCATAATAAAACAAGAATTTTGTAAGCATTTAAAGCTGACTAATGGCATTTTTGTTGAAACATTTTTCATCGATTTTTCTTCAACTTCCTTCTTCTTCTTCCTCAATTTTCATTGTTAAAATGTTCACAATGGCTTGCGAGAAAATAAAAAAAAGAAAGAACCCTCACCAGTTTAATGACTTAAAAGCCTGCATTTAAATATTTTCACAACATGTTTGATGGTCCATTAGATAGTGTAATCATCACAACTTTCTTAAGAAACATCATTCTTGACATAAATCAACAGTTTATGTACCTTTGTGTGACAGCTTGAGTCAGAAACTTGCAAATCGACTGAAATAAAAAAAGGAATAGGAAGAAATGAGATTTTTTTCTTATTGTTTCCATAATTTCTTTTTTTCTTTGAGTTATGTGCTGTCATATATATCATTTGAATAGACTGTGGAGTTTAAAGAGGCAATGAATAATATAAACAATGAGGCAGTTTGAGAACTTTTACAACTTGGGTATTAAAGCGCATTTAAGTTTCTCTGGTAGGAATCGAACCACATAAAATTTTTGGCAGAAAATTTCACATTAAGCTATCTTTCCATAAAATTTTAAAATTATTATCATGTTTCGCAAATTGTACAAGTTTTAGATACAGTCACAATAATTGACTGGTTTGAACTTGGCCCCAAAATCCCGGCCATGATTTTTTCGTCTGACACTTTAATGCTTAAGTCTAGTTTAGTCTTAAGTACAATATGTCGGTCGATTTTTATCGGCCGACGTGAATTGTGAAAATTTTTAATTGAACCAGTCAATAATTGCCTGTCTACCAAGCAATCATAATTAATGTCAATTGTCCATCAATCAAGTCATTCAATTAATCATTCAATAGTCCAGTCATACTTCAATATTATCTTTCACTTTCCACAAAGAAGCGCCTTTCAAATAACACAACAACGTTTGTCAATGTTCATTCATTGCGGGCTTATCATTACTGCATGACAAAAGAAAACTGCCATTTCTTAAAAATTTCCTCTTCTTTTCTCATTTAATATTTTTTTTCCATCATCTGTGTTTCTCTTTTTTATTGAAGTCATAACGAACCTCGAGCGTCTCATAAGTGTTATGACTGCAATGTAGCATTGAATCATCTGATTGCTACATAACTGCTTCATGTCGACTTTAAATGCTTATATTTCATCCAGAAAGTTGAAATGAACAATGCGACATAAAAAAAAATTCGAGCATGAAAAATCTCCATTGAGAGCTTTTTGGGGATCTTAAAGACAAAAACAGACTAATTTTTCACGTAGACTGAAGGTTGTGGAAGCTGATTATGAGAATTGCCAACATAGATGTTCTTGATAAAATGCAATTACATTGAAGCTTGAAAATTATATTATACATGAATGTGTGGATTGGATGCTTATTTAAAATTCAAAGAGATTTTTGGCTTATTTCGATTTATATGTGCATATATAATGTGTCGAAATCCATGTTTTAATGCTCGCATGTAATATCTTATACTTGATGAATAATGCATACTGAATTGAAAGTTCGAGAATTGTAATTTTCAATGTCTAACATTCGTTCTTATATTTGCATTCATTTTCTTGAATTTTGAATGAGGCTTAACGATTTTGTATGCAAATCAAATGAAATCTACTTAAAGGCAAATATCCTTAAAAATTCTTCAAATTATCATTTATAGGTGTCATCTTAAATCGACTTGATTTATTCTTAGAAGAAAATTCAATTTATTTGCGTATTTATTTATGATGAATTGTTCGTGTGGTGTTGAGGTCATAAATCAAGATATCTTATGTTTACTTATTTTGTGGGAATTAATTGACAAACATTGAACTGCCGATATTGGAATTTTTAAGGCTGATTTACCTGAATTTTAAATTGGGGAAATTTGGATAGCCTAATTTAATCGTATTCTTATTTTCAATAAAGACTTTCTTTTTTCAAATTTAAATCCTTCAAGTCAACTCCAATTCAATTTACTTTCCCTAAAGCTTTCTTTTTTCTGTTAAGATTTCCAATTAAATTGCTCCTAAATTGAATGAATTTTCCACTTGATCAGCAAGGAAAAACCTTTTAAATTAAATTTTCATTTTCTAGAGCTTTGACTTTTAGAATTTTAAAACAATTCTTAATTAGAATTTTTCTTCGTTTCAATGAACTATACTAGTGGCACAAGGTATGCATACAGGTGAGATTATTGATAGAAAGACATTGAGTCACATCGACATTCATGAGAAAATAAATTGAATGAACAAAATGAATTTGTTCAATTGAATAATTTAATAAAATGCATAAAATTTCCTGTTAAAAACCTGCCACACATCTATCTCTCACACAAATGTAGACTTGAGCATAGAAAAAGCAAACGAGTGAGAGAGGATAATATAAATTGCCTCAATAAAATTTATCGCATACATAATTTATATCACGTATCTTCGCAACGTAAATTTTTACCATCTTCTTCCATTCTTTTTCTTTTATCCATTTTTCATTTCGATTCACTCCTTTTAGAGTTTGTCTTAAACATATTTTTGGCATGCAATTTTGGCATTTTAGTGGCTGATTGTCTTGTTATTGAGAGGGTTTTAATCGATGACTCATTTTTGGCTTTACCTTACTATTTTCACTACTGCACTATGAGCTAAGTGCCTAATGACGATTTTGTATTCCAAATTAATGATATGAATGGTAAACTTTTTCATAATAAAATCATAGCTGCAGACATCTTTCATTATAGAGTGGTGAGCAGCCTAGAACTTAGAAAAGGCATCACGTTTAGGACAATTTCTAGAGTTTGTTCATTCAAAATTATTCGAGATAACTCTCGTGAAGAATCTATAACCTTATTTAATACCTTTTGAACATCTAAGTCATGAAATAGCAAAGTCTGATTTTTGTTATTATCGTTATCGGTGAAATGGTATCAGAGGCCTAAATAGTAGAGCGTTGGCATTATATGCCAAAGGTTCTTGGTTCAATCCCAAGCCAAGTCAAGCTCTTTTTTCATTTCATCGTTCTAATTTCGAAGCTCGGTTTGTGTACTTTTAAGGTCTTCGGCGTATAAAATGTCTCCTTTGCTAGGTATACTAGGATATACTAGCATCTGGATGATTTGATTACAACATCTTGCGCACACGAATTGTGACTAGGTACATTTGCAGGGTCTATAGAATACTCATGTCTTTGCAATGTGCAGAGCTTGCAAGTGGTCTGGATGTCACTATAAAATCTCTAGGTCTAAAGAGTGTGGTACAATAGATTATGTTCTAATTTGAATCGCAGTGCCTCCAGCTCAAAAGGTTTGCTCGAAATGTCACTACTCCATACATTTTTTTGACAAAACGAAAGTCAATTACGACTACTTTACTTTCCAAAACGTTCTGGATCATCCAAAAAATTAACCATTTTTACCTTACATCACCTATAGCAACTTTCATACTCGCATTTACTCTTACCATAAAAATAATTTACATAATATACACAACACATCATTCTAGCAACGTCAAACGAATCGACTACAGCAGCTGCTAAATTTATTTTGTCGTCATCTCCCTCAACATTGACATCGTCTCGAGCAAGAATTTCTTCAATTGAATCCAACGGTGACATTTTGATTAGTGGGAATATATTTTCATCATCAAATATGTCAACAAATGCTTCTTCATCTACCTACAATCATCAAAATACAATAACATCATCGCACTCACTGTCATCATCATCATTAAATTATTATGAGAGTATTTATCAAAAAAGTAATAATAATAGCCAGATTTTGCATAATAAAAATGTCGAGAGTGTGAAGACAAAACGTTCATTAGACAAAGATAATACATCACCAGAATGTGAGCCGTTTACAATAGGCGAAGATGCAATCAAAACATTTTATAGTCCTGGATATCCAAAGGAATATACAAAAAATATAAGCTGTGTTCGTGTTATTGAAGGTAAGATGAAGTTTTTTTTGTAAGGATTCTTCAAAGTTCCTATGGTGACTTTTGAAGACATTGTTTCATGCTTCTCTGGTGATGATGAAAACAAATTAGGTTTTTATTGGATTTATGGATGGGATGATGAGTTTTATAAATTGATGTTAAAAATTGCACGGGTTCTATTTATGAGTATTCATGACATTAGTCGTACGTTCTACACCATTTTTGAATTTTAATGACGATAGTTGTGAGTTCTTAATTCGAATTTTCATTTATTTTGAATATAACACCGTCTATCCCCTCAGAATGGTTAGTATGAACATGGGTGCAAAACTGATAAATTAGATTTTGATAACTTTTGATGATTTTTGATTATTTTCGATCTTTTTGATCATTTTGATCAGTTTCGTACTCTTGAGTATGAACTGCAAAAATGTTTAAAATTTATTTTAGTTCATTTAATAAGGAAAAGAAGTAGTACAAATTGTGTAATTTACAGAAGAATTTAATAAAAATATCTTCAAGTCTCTTGCAAGATAGATACAATTAAACCCACACACCTGATTTTCACACAACAAGAGCAAAAACTTCTTGCTTTTGTATTTCAAATAAAATAAAATATTTCCCATGATATGAAGCATTCGAGCTGAATTTTCTTTTTAATTAACTGCACACCGGAATAATACATTTATTTTTCTCATTGATTCAATTACAGCACCATCGGGATTTCTCATAAGGCTTGACTTTCGAGATTATTTCCAAATTGAACCTTCGGATGAATGTAAATTTGATTACTTAGAGGTACGTATGGCTCCATAATTAATTAGGTGAATGTGAAGGAACAAAAAAAAATTATTAAAATTGAATATTAAATGTCGATTCCCAACAGATAAGAGACGGAGCTCACGGTTTTTCTACAAGTTTAGGTCAATTTTGTGGTCATAATTTTCCTGACATGATTACATCGAAGGATCGCTTCCTCTGGCTTCGATTTAATTCAGATGAAAATATAGAGGATAAAGGCTTCAAAGCTGTTTATGAATTTATTCCACGACCAACATCTGGTAATTGGATTTGAATTTATATTTTCTGTGCATTATTATATTCATCTGCTGGCCTAAATAACCTTCACATATACAATTTGCATAATGAAATTTTTTATGCTTCCTTTCTTTTTTGCCTTGCTCTTATTATTCTACTCATCCCCAATCATTTCCCCTTGTGACACAAATTTCTACCTTTTAATTAATTTTCTGTTGCTCCTTTATCAAGAAATATGTCTATGAATTTTTTAGTTTATTCTAGCCTTGCAAAATTAATGTGTTATTTTATTCAGACTTTTTTTTTGATGTTATGTGACTCACGTTGTAGATTTTAAAGTGGAACTTTATTTTTTATATTTTATGTGAAAAACCAAATTAAAGAAAATTTTCCTGAGAATTCCTTCTTATGAGCGTTTCACACTGTTGCCCCAGAAGCATTTCTCATTAAAAGTGGATAAAATGTTGTGGAAAAATTTGATTGAGTTAAAAAGAAACTTTCACAAAGTCAGATCGACGTGGAGTCAATCTTATTTGACTTCAAAGAGCTTTTTTAATGAAATTTTACAGAGTTCAAAGCAACTTGTTGTATAAACTGCACCAAAGAACAAGGGTTGATTGCTTTTTAAATCATCTTAAATCAACGTCTTAAAGACGTTTAGTTTGAGTTGAAATTGAAGTTCGAGGATATAATGTAGAAATTTATTGAACGTGAGTCATAACAACCTTAAAAAGATGAATATGAAAAATACAGTCTGAACATTATAACTTGAGCAAAACCAAAATGATCAAAACCTTAAATGAACCTCCAAATTCTCTTGATGCAAATGTGAAGGTTATTGAGTCAATTAAACCTAAAGTTTAAATCACAACAGCAATAAAGTTAATTTATTTTAAATTTCCAGTCATCTACGATGAGACAGAGTGCATTATTCACGTAAATGGATCTGAAGGATGGGTAAATCATACGATGGTTAACCAACAGAAGCTTGAATACGTGAAAAGGCACAATTTATCATTAGATTGTATGTTTATAATAACAGTTGAAGAAACTTGGAAGGTGAGTGTGGATAAGTTGCCAAGTGACCCATTTAAATTAATTCAAAATAACTCTATTCAAGTCAGTCAAGAAGAAAAGGCAGGGATATTCAAAAATTATGTCTAATATCTTTTCAAAGAGGGGGGGGGGGTCCGATTTTTTTTATAAAAGTTTTAAAGACGATGGGAAGGAGCCTTGGTTGTTAAAGACCCAAAACCATTTAAGAACGAAAAAATAACATTTTTTGTTTCCATTTTTACAGATTCTTCTAAAGTTTGTGCATTTCGAATTAAAGAAGCCAAACGAGTGTGAGAGAAACTTTATAGATATTTTCCCCGAGAAAACGGATTTGCCGTCTAGGTGAGTAGCCTTAACTTGAATGAGTAAAGTAAATATTCATTAACCTTAATTAAGTTTTGTCATGTGAATGGTGAATGCTGTTGTGGATCTTCTTCCCTTCTACGAATTGTTTCACCAACGTCTGTTGACTAACCACTTTCCATTTTCATTTCCATTCTCTCTTCATTCATTTTCATGTTATGCTGTGCATACAAAGTGAGTTCATATTTACTTAATTTAGATAATTTTTTTAGCATTTGTCATCCCCACTTTTATTTGCTTGAAGTGTATTTTGATGAATATCCACAAAATAGGGAAGATTTATGAGAATTAAATTTTTCTTAATTAATTAATTAGCTTTTAGGACAACGTGAGAGGTGATAAAATTGTCTTTTGTTGTTGTTCGTGCCTTCTACCTTTTCAATTCAATTTGTTCACGAAAAATTTTAATATTTTCGAAAAATGATTTTCCATTTTTTTATCTTTAGTGCCAATTTTTGAGGAACAATTGAGCTCTAATTAGCTGATGATATGTCAGAATTTATGTTTTAATCAACACAAAAAATTCTTCGATTTGCAAAGGTTTTAAAAAATAAATCACAAAACCCTTCTTAATTTTTTTTTTGTTGACAACCTTTCTTTAAATCGATACTTTTAAATGAAATAAATTTATTTAATGAAATCCTATATGCACATGAAAAATAAAATTTTCTTCTTCTGAAAATGTCAATCCTTTTACGGTTTTTAGCGCATTTTTGAAACTTGTTTCTAGAAGGTAGCTTAATACTCACTATGTCTGTTCGTTCGGGCGGAGAAAAACTTTTTAACTAGACATCGTAGAGAGTTCTAGTTTGTTTTATTAGCTCAGGTCCATTGTTTTATTTTCGGGAAACGCATTTAAAAGTCTTGAAACAGTGTTTTTGTACTATAATTAATGATTTTTCTATTTCATATGAAAAAACACGTGATGTAAGCGTTTAGAAATTCGAATTTATTTCTACCGTTGAAAAATTTTGTATCTCAAAAAACCGTTAAATTACAAAGCCTTTTTGTATGAAAAATTTTTTTTGCAACAGACTGTTATTTATACTATAATTAATGCTTTTACTGTAATTTTTGGCAAGATACTTTAAATGCATACGACCGTTACAAAATTTGAACTTCAGAAAACCTTTAAATGATAAACAATTTATATAGGAGAATGAAAGATATTAAATTGATAAATATGATAAATATACTATAATTAATGATTTTTTGTATATCTTTTGGCGGGAAGCTTTCAAAAACTTACTGACCGTTAGAAAATTTGAATCTCAAATAATCGTTAAATGATAAACTTTTTATATATGAAAATTCATTGGAACAAATTATTTAATTATACTATAACTAATGCAGTCGTAATGCAACTTTTAGCGGGAAAAATTTCAAATTATTTTTTGACCGTTAAATAATAAAGCCTTTCTTTATAAGCATTCACTGTAATTATTTGCTAATTGCATTAAAATTAATGATCTTCTAATCTTCTAATGATCTGTAAATGAACGCAAAATAAATAGATAATCAAATGCTGATCGCTAACACAAAAATGCGCTTAAGTCCCTCGATCAATAACACGAGGACTTCTGTAATTTTTTAAATTCGTGTGATAAAAATCGAATTAAATATTTTCGAATTCTTTAAAGCTGTTTACTGCTGTTTACTCTTTTGAATGAATTTTTAAATTTCTCGTTTATTTTTTAAGAAATTTGAAATTTATTATGACTTTATGGATGAGAAAAAATACATAACTTCTTCCCTGCTCTCAAAAATTTTCCAACTTTTTTTAAAATATCTAGCCGCTGTCTTCAATACCATAAGTTTGATATTGATGCAGTAACATTAATTTTATAAACCATCCAAAAATTGAGAAGTTTGATGTTTCATTGATTTTATTCCAAAACCATGCCAGTATGAATACGAAGTAATAAAATGTTTATAGCCATATAAGATAAGTTTTCATTGTTAGGACTACATGATCATTATTAAAAAATTTGAGAATATAAATTCAACATGTTGAGCAAAATCGAATATTGAATTACCGAAAAATCAGTCTAATGCTTTTGCTAGTCAAAAGATTCTATAATCATAACTATTCAAAGCAATGAATTATGTTCGAATAATTAAAAAAAAACTATTGACCATAGGCTATTGAAATTACTAATGCATCCCTATGAATTTATTTACATATGGACCACATTGAAAATGTTGAAAACTTGACGCAATAAAATTCAAAACTTTTAATGAGTAAAAATATGAATAAATTTCATATTCACAATTTTTGAATAAATATTTGTTTATAGCTCAAATAAAGTTATAATTACTTCCCCATATTTGGCTATTAAATGCATGCATATGGAACAAATGCAAATATAGTGAAATAATAAATTAAGTTAAAATTATTTTTATGACTAAAGTGAGTCGTGACATATATTTTGGAAAAATATTTCATGATGCTTCAATTTAACGATTCAGTCAAGAGGATCAATGTTGTATCATCAATCATAATCCATGAACAATTTTAATAATTTAATGTTGTTTTTAAGTTACAAAAAATCCAGTAGGAATTTGTGAGTGTGAAAAATTTGGAATGATTTTTAATTTCTTATTACTTTCTTGAGTTGCCTCTTAGGGGCTCGTTCACTTATTACGGAACGCAAAAAAACGAGTTTTTAGACCCCCCTCCCCCCCTGTAACAAAGCGTAACACAATCTTAGACCCCCCCTCCCCCCCTAGTGCGTTACGTAATAAGTGAACGAACCCTAGGTTAAATTTTTTTTTCAAGAAAATAAAGTTTTAAAAGGCAAAGAAATTCTAAATTCTGATCAAACCTATCCAAATGATTGAAAATTTTATGAAATAAACTCATTGAACTCATTACAAGTGCACCAATTTATCCATCTAAAATTCAATTCATACCATTTCCATTTGAATATCATCATACTCAGTATAAAAACTGGCATCATAAATGAAAATTAAAGCATGATTAAAAAGTTCAAATATTGACTTTCTGCAATGAATAAAATGAATGTTGAATATTTATGAGTTTTCATCCTGTCTTAGGGAATTGATAATCGATCTTTTTTGAACATGGATATGAAATTTATTGTCCAATATTAAACACTGATGACAACGCAATTATTTATTTACTGAGGATGTATTAATGATTGTTGAAGCACTTTGATATGTTTATCGTTAAAAAATATTGACAATCGTGTAAATGAAATGGTTTTTGGATGTGTTTTAAAATGTTTGTACTTTTTATTTCGTTCTGAGTTGTTCTTGGTGTTTTTAAAGGCTGGCAAAATTTAATTTACTCAAATCTCAACAACAAAATATTATTAAGAACATTCAAAGTCAGTGGTGTTCAAACTTTGCTCCACAACCTACAATTGTAGTGATAACAGTTTGTTTCTATCTAATTAGTTTTACTTTAAGTCTCTAAACCTTTTCTCAAGTCCATCATTGACAAGAGCTTTAATATAGATTTATTCTCATCCATTTCGTTCTCCAAAGTCTTCCTAGCTCTGAAAAATCGGTAAAAACCAACCCACTTGGTAGGAAATTGCATGCTTTCATTAAAACACTGTCCAGCATTCATAACATTATTCTATGGAGAGTTGCCATTGGCAATTCCCATTCACTTTAATATAAAATACTATGTAAATATTTATTGTGAAAATGAATGATGTGGAAGAGAGGAAACACATAAAGAAAGGAAAGATGAGTAAATATTGATTCTTAAGTAGCTTTAAAAGATTCTTTATGTACTTTACTCACTATAAAATGCTACAAATTGCATAGCTCAGCACAAAGTCATGCTTTAATTATGCAAATTTGTTTGCTTGCTTATTGCTGCTCTTCTGCTTTTTTACTTCCTATTAAAGCTTTACAGCTTTTGTAGCATAAATTGAATTTCATAGAGGAAGGATGAGAGATTTCACGAGAACTTTTCAATTGCTGAAGTTTAAGTTTTTTCAGGTATTTTATTTAGTGTTGATGTTGATTTTTTTTTAAGCTTTGAATATTGATTGATTAGCACAGATATTTAGCAAATACATTTTTGTCTTTAGAAGTGACTAGATGACGTAATGAGTTTTTAAAAAACTAGTAATGAGGGTGGAGGTTGGTGCAAAAATTGGTTTCTCATTTTTCACACCCACCCATAAGCTATAGATCAACATCCCAAAAATAGACTCATAATTCAGAAATTGTATCCAAATTAATATTAGGCGAGAAAAGTTTACTCCAATTTGCATCCACAACTGCGTTTTCTAAATTTCATCTGCAGGCAATTTACAATAACTTCCTTCATCAATTTTTAAGCGAAATCTTTCATTTCCTCCAAAAAAGGAATAAACAAAAATTTTCATCTTTTTCGAGCTTCTTTCATTTGGTTTACAACAAAACTCAAAGCAATTTTCCTTAGCATTTATGTTTAATGCATGATTCCGTGCTTCCTTTCATTCCATCTGTGTATTGTACCATTCAACCACCGCCTTATTCCTTTCATTTCGTTACACATCGTGAAATAAGTAAGGTTCTTGTTTGAAATTTTTTTTTATCGACCTTTTTTCAAACTTATTCACTCAGAGCTGTAGCCAGGGAGGATTTCAGTCTCTCAATTTTATCGAGGGCTTTAAAAAGTTTTTCATAGTGAATTTAAATCTCGAAGAGGCAGTTTTAACTTCCTTACACCTCCCTGGCTACCTCCATCTATCCACCAGACATACGGAACTTTAAATGATTGAATGAATGAATGAAAGAGAAGAAGATTTTTTTTCTTTTGCTATGAAGATAATGGAGCAGAAATTTGTTTAAAATGAAAAACTTCCTGCTTTGATATCTCCGTCTTTACTCTATCGCAATATCCTTTCCACATAACTTTTATTCTCTTTTACTTTTTCTTTCTTTATAGAATAAAAAATTTTTGCGGTTCCATGGCAGACATCGTTGAATCAAAAGTGAATATTGTACACATACGATATTTTGCTGAGGCATCGGCAATCAATTCAACATTTGCCATTTTATTCACAGCCTTTAGGCCTAAAGGAGGTAACTTATTTTTCGGACCTTTTATTTACATTCTTCTATTTATGTACTTATGAAATAACTTCCTATTTATGGTAAATTTATTCACACATATGCTAATTCATCTGTACCTTCTTCTTTTTCATATTTGTACTGTATTTTCATTTTTTATCTTTTGCAACACAAACCATGTCTAAACCCTGAAAATGAAATAGACTCTTGTGCGGCCGATGAATATGATTGTGAGGATTTAACATGCATAAAGGCCGAGTTGAAATGTAACGATAGAGAAAATTGTCGATTTAAGTGGGATGAATCGGAGGATGAATGTAAGGTAAGTTGACAAAGTTTATATAATTCCAGAACTAGTTTGATTTTAATATGTGGGTTGGATATTGATTTCTATTGTTCCATATTTGAAATCTGGAAGCTTATGAAATCTACAGAAAATCAATAAAATCAAGGATTTTTTGTGGGAATATGAAGTATATCCCAAAGAGAACAAAGGCAAATAGCACAGTCGTAGTCCAAATTCAGTGCCAAGTCGGCATCATATCGGATTTTTTGGGTCTTCTAAGCTCAATGTGCCCAACAAGCTAGTTTGATATATTGGAAGTTAAAATTGAACAATTCGAAAAATTTTCGAACTACGTTACATCTTCCATCTAGGAAAAACCACAAAATTACAAGAATAAATCGTATTTCAAATAGATCAGGTGCATATACTCAGAAAATAATACAAAACCAAGATACATGAGATATTCATTGAATCCAAAAATGTCACATAAATTTAATTTAGAGCAATCCGATCTTATTTTTACTGGTTATTTTCCTTACAAAAGTGCTACTGCTTTTAAAATTGATTTAGTTTTTCGATTTTGGCATTCTATATCGAGTATTACTTTGAAATGGTAGAGTAAGTCTAATACACAAATGCATAAGAAGTGCATTTATGGTGCATTTTGCAAAAAAGATTAAATTTCCAATCCATTTCTATCAGAAATCCGCTTCATTCTTCTCAGACTACATCATATCCATTTCAACATTGTATTTCAAATCCGTAATTGTAGTCGATTAAATTGCATCAAATGGTTTCCTTTTCTTATTTTTCTTCTTTTTTATCCTTAACAGAATAAAAATGCAGACCAATCAGAACATGTTTTTATCATCATCATAGTATTTGGAGTTATCTTGACGATTCTCTCAACAGCCTTTGTTATTAATTGCATAAGGAAAATTGTACGCGATCATAAAATTATACGAGTAAGTACAGAATACCAATTGTGAATTACTTATTGAACTGATACTGAAGGTGAATTGAATGAGAAAAAATTCAATGTAACGAGCTTTGTAAATGACTTTTTCATGACATCGATTCGAATGACTTATTCAATAGGTCGAATAGGTTTCGTGCCAGACAAATGTGTTCAACATGGATGACTGATGTTATGGGAGTTGTTAGATATTGTTCTGATTTGTATTACTATGATTTTGTAGGTTAGAAATTGATTTTTGTTGCCATCCAATCCTTGCCACTTTTTTCTATACCTTCAGCTAATTTTGTATGAAATTAAGACGAGTACAGCTTTTAAATTGGCAAAAAAACTTTTTGAAGTGGTGAAAATTTTGTAAGACTAGAGTTTATCCAGAGAGAAATTCAAATCTCAAAAAGCAGTTAAATTTTACGGCTCATTTAAAGCAAACAAAAAGAGAAAATTTCATCAGAAAATATATTTTTGAAAGGATTTTATGGCCTATATTTTTCAGTTCATATCAAGATCAACAAAAAAGCGACTTTAGTCATCAGTTTTCTGTGATTTCTATACTTTTTGCCTCTTTTTATTATAACAATATTCGCAGGCGACAAAAAGTTTCGCTAAAAGCACTTTTTTCCGTCAATGATAATCTACATATATGAAGTTAGTGAGTCTCCAAATGAATAGCTGTATATTTTCATTCTGATGATGAAATTCAATCTGTGTGCGATGTACGTAAATCTAGCAAGCTTATAAGTAAACACATAATAGCTATATGTATAAGTACATAAGGGGTTTCATTTTCTCAGCTCTTAGTTCCAACCACTTGCTTCTTTTTTTTTATCATTTTATTATTCTCTCACTCCATTTCATCCACTCTTCGTTATTTTTTTGAAAATTATCTACAACTATAGCTCCCAACTACAAGTCTCAAAAGCATTCGAAAGACTCAATAACTTTCCGCTAGTAATAAATTATGTAAATCATGAGTTTGTTCTTCATGGATGTTGCAACATTTTCTGCTGTTATTCATAACTTTCTACATGAAAAGTTATAATTTAAATAAGCTCAGGCGAGAAAGCAAAAAAAAAAGAGCGGCAGTAGGAAAAAATTGTATGCTTTGAAATATTTTTTTTCACCCACTACCATTTATTCGTTTACTCTGTAGCAGTTCTGCTGTGCAATGAATCGTGGGGAGAGAGTCGTATGGATAAAGGAAACTCAGAGAAAAATAAATTGACTGTTATCTGCTCCGTATCCCATTCTACCACCACGATTTCACATGATGTATAAATATTTTTTTACTTACTCACCCTGGCTTGTTTCCGGACGTCGAATGTCCATCTACAATTCACACACAGAGCCCTCCAGGGTTATTTATTTTCTGTCGTTAAAGCGTTCGTGCTTTTAATTTTGATAAAAGCTTGATAAAATTATGTATAAGCTTTCCTATCTCCTCCATAATACAATAATGAACGGGAACGTACATAAATAAGTATAGTGCAAAAATAACAGCAGCTGCTCAGCAATGAATTATAAATACATTTGTGTTGCTATTATTAAATTAATTTGTATAATTTCCTACAAGTGTCTTGTTATTCTTAGACTATTTGATCCTAGTTGATTGGAAAATTTATGTTAATGACTATTGATGGGGTGAGGTTGTTGTTAGCATAGCTGATCTATTGCCCGTTGCTTATTGAGTTGAGAATGAAACAATGTATTATGACTTCACAGTGCCTTATCAAGGAGGCTAATTTGAAAAGTAGGTAAGGGGAGGGAAGAGGTGTTGTGTGGTTAAAAATCTAAAAAATTCCATTTAAAATAGCGTCAAAATTCGTTCAGAAAGATGCAAATTTTATGATCTATTCCCTGGTTTCGTAGGCTGCTCACTCAAACTTCATGGAAATTTTGGTTGTAGTGACTATTCTTTAAAATGTAACTTTCATCTGCAACTTCTCAAAACTAAGTGTAATACTTAAATACATATTAATTGGAACTAGACTTCTTCCTATTATCACTGTTTATTAATTTGCTTTCCTCTATACCTAATGAATTTATCGAACAATCATCCCATCACAAGCTTCAACCCCTGTCCAAATAAAAAAGCAATAAAACTTTATTGCTTCTCGACCTTTATTGAAGAGTAATCAGTGCTAGCAATTTCCATTATCGGTCTACAATGTTGAACGAGGATAAAATGTAGAAGTTAATTATGCCATTTACGAGGATTCCTTTAATATTTTTTATATTTAATTAATTAATTAAATTTCATTTTAATTCCTTTTTTTTCTCTCAATAAAAATCGACTCTCAACTACCTGTCTGATGTTAATCCATAGGAGCATATCCGGCAATCACGTGAAAGTAAACTAGATGAATTGGGTCGTCATTCAACAAAATTGACAAAGTCAAGGGAGAACATAGCATTGGCACAATTAACGAAAATTCCACCGCCATCATTTGATCTCGAATCACCGACATCAATAAATTTAATAGACCACAATACGAACAATCATCAATATTATCGCGATGCGATGTCCGCCAATAATGGTGCTAGAATTATAGATAGTAAAAATGATTTAAATTTAAGGGAACAAGAGATAAAAAATATTTTAGGAGCATCATATGATGTTGATGTTGATCGTAAGGATGCTGAAATGTGTGATTCAGCGTGTCAAACAAGGTAATTAATTTTATTTTTTGTCACATTCTTTTTCTTTTTATATATTTATGTATACATTTGTGTCATATGCGTATAATGAAATGAGAAACTCATTACTGATTTATGGAGGATGTTGAGTGGCTCAATTTGACATTAACTTTTTTTCCTTTTAATAAGGTTGGATGGGGTTCGTGTGAGTTTTTATGTTAGAAAAAGATATATTAAAGATGGAATGGCTCTATTTAGATATTAGCTTGAAACTCCCGATCTTAATAAATTTGAGCTATATTGTTGAGGAATTAGCATAGGCATCCTTAGATTATGAGTAGAGCTGGAGTTGTGAAATGCAAAATAAGTCTCATGTTTAAACTGACATCCAACCTTCTTTATTTCACTCAAGTTCCTTCACTGGAAAACGACAAAATCCTCCTAAAATTCAAGCAGATGGTCATTATTTATTTGATAAAAACTTCACTCATAATTCCCTAATAATCATCAATAAATTCAATAAATCTCACAGCATACAAATAAATTTTGACCACATAAGATCACTCAGACAAACCACAGCAAAACATTATGTAACAAACGTTCACATCAATTTAGTATGATTGATGTGAAAATAATTATATTGTTTATATTCCGCATTTGCTCTATTTACTCATTTCTCCATTCATTTCCTTTTTGTTACCTTTTCATGGCTCTCTCCTCACTCAGAACTACAGTGCTACTAATTCATTCATTTTCAACGCTGTTGAGCTTCCCATTGTTAACTAACATTTCTCCATCAATTTTCCCAATTCTCATATGTATACGTTACGATTCATTATGATAGTGATGAACTGACAAGGAAAGGTGCAAGGGATGAGAAGCTTTTACATTTTTTTTTCGAGTGGGAAAAGAGATGGGTAGGAGGAGGTTTTCGTCATGATTGATGATGAGTAAATTTATTGAAAATGAGCAGTTTTATTGCAAAAGTTTGAATGTCAAAATTTTAAGCTTGTTGTAGGAATCAGCGAGGGAATTAATGGAAATTGACAACAATAACCGGCACAGTGTAGGTTGAGGTGAATTGTTGTTGGTATTGCCGGTTGTTTTGTTAATGATTTTCATTCTTTGTTCAATGTAAAATTCTGTTTTTTATATTACAATGTCTACAGTCAGCAATAAAATATTTGCAGAAACATTTTAATTTAACAAAAACGCAATAAAAATCGATTGGCATACAAAATAAGATCTTCGAAAAAATGCCAAAAATAAACAAAATTTTAAACTCTGTAACTCCGTCCATCCACAAATTGACTATTAAATAAAATTGAATCATCCTCTCAATATCCCCAAGCAAATAAGAATTTTCCCATTTTTTATCATTCTCTTCCCATTATTTACTTTTCTTTTTTTAAACAGAGAATCACTCTTTCAACCTGTATTTAAAAATAAAGTAACACAATCACCCCTCCCAAGTGGTCTTCGCTTTTCAACGTTCGGTTATTTAGATTCATCGACTCCTAGTCCACCACCACCACCCAATCTTCAATCAATGATGAATGCTGCTAACAGCGGTCAGGCTATAAATATGCCATGTCCAACACATAGTGGAAAAAATACATTGCCTCATCAGCATCAGCATCATCAACATTTGCATAGCCATAGCCATCATCATCGGTTACATAGTAACAGTACAAATCAATCATGTAACGATGATAAAGGATCAAATGCTAATAAAATGGATGAGAATGATGAAAGGAAATATTCAACATTAAAGAGGGATGATATGCAGTCATCGAGGTCGTTTAGTGATGTAAGAAAATCAGCACCTGATGTGGTCATCATTAGTGGGTGTACATCATCGCACTGACGTTTCTAAATATTTTCTTTTCACATTTTTTTTTTGTATATAGATAAATTGGAATGAATAAGATGGAAAGGATATATTTTCATTTCTTTTCGTTGTTATTTACGTTATTAGTGAAAAAAAAAGTTGTTGTTGCTGTTACTAAACTTTTACTATATTTATTTATTTATAAATTTATTTATTTACTCGACATAAGTATTTAGTAAATAATTAATTTTCTTCTTGCTTGTCAAGGAAGTATTTTTCAAATTTTCTACAAGTCTATAAGAAATAAGAGAAAATATATCTAGATACGGATCAGCAGGAGTATTTTTGACAGCCTACTCTTTTGTTGAGATAAGTTGAATAGGGTTTAACAAAAAAAAAAAGTTTAGAATTTAATTTTCGAGCATTTCGATTGATTGTATTAATTCTAAACTTTGCATACTTTTGTGCTCCAGACTAAAGATTGATAATATGCCATTAGATCATTGATTCTAATTAAGATTTTTAAAATATTCGATGCTAAAAACTTGAAGTGGGAAATCCACGAGAAAATGAAAAATTTGATCCGAAATCATTGATGTTGTCAATCTGCAATTTGAAGAGCTTCTATTTAATTCTTCATTCAGAATAATAAAACATAATTTTTATTTAAAATCATTGAATATGGTCCAATGCATATAAGACAATAGTAAAGACATGACTGTATCAAAAAAAAAATCATATTTCTCAACACTTCCTTAGCAACCCTTTTTCTTCTAATTATTACTCAAGTCAGTCGTGCAATGATGATTCTTTTCTGATAAACTCCTCATTTTCATTTTAATAAAACAGTTGGATAAGATCGTGTTCCTTTTTTAAAGAATAAAAATTATGAGAAATGAAATTAAAGAGATTTCCTCATTTTTTAAGAGGGTTTTACAACACAGAAAAGGCATCACGCAATTTTCTCTCTGTTCATTCTTTCATTATTCTTATTATTATCGCGTAAGTAATTCTCGTTGATTTAATTCAGCACAAAAAAAAATTGAACATTTTTTTCTCCTTTCGTTTTGGATGAAGAATGGAATGAAATAAATGAAAAATTGCTCAAAACTGCCATTGACATGAAAAAAATTAATCAACAGAAATTTCTGTTATTTTTCATGATTTTATTTAAGGGGTTATCCGCATATTCCGTTCAATTTATAAGAGGCTTTGAGGGTTTAGGGTTATGTGATGCTTTACATTAAAATGGGATGTGAGTCATGGACCTAGTTTTTTTACGTTACACAACAAGTGAATGATCGCATCATGAAATAACATTTAATATATTTAGAAGCATAACTAGCTATTTTATTGAATCAGTTTTGTAATTTATATATTTTCGTCTTCTCAAGAATCTCTCATTTTTTATGAGCAGGATAAAGATAAATGAAAAGCATAGACGAAGATTTTCTCATTATTTTGAGCTTAAATGAAATTTATACATTTGTTAAGTTGACCATGTTACGACAACCGCTGTGATGAACTTTCGCAAGGATGAAAAATGGAATTTATGTTGCGAGGCTAAGCTTCTTTAAAGGGATAATCTATGTTAAGTTGTGTTTCCATGAACAAAAAGTCTTGATTCTATGAAGAATTTTCAGTTAAATTAAGCGGTTCTTTTTTGCTACCTTTGAGGTAATTTTAATTAACAGAAGTATCTTCTTTCGGTTTTGAGGAGTTGAATTTGGTCCTTAAATTATTTTCCTTTGAGATTTAGTTGACCTTTTTTTTTCTAGCACCCTTAACCTTTTCGTTGCACTTCTTCGAATGAAGGTGTTATTTTGACTGGAATTTATTTTAATTGGATTTCAATGAGTTTTTTCTTCAATTGGACGAGTCCGAAAGAGTCTTTATTGCATTTTCATTTGAGGTCGACAAACTTTTGTAATTTAGAATTTTTCCCGACACCTTTCTTAATTTACAACTCAATATAATCCGAAATAATTTTGATTCGATTAATGACACAAAATTTAATTTTTCTTTCAATTTAAAAAATAATCAAAATTTACGACAATCATAAAAATTTCATGTTTCATCATCGATAAAGCTGGTAAAATATCACAATTAAATTTTTTATGTGATTTATTTTCATTATGAAAGTGTCATCAAGCATCTTTTGAACTTAAAGTTCAACATCTGAAATGAAGGAACAATTTTTCAATTTATGATGCATAAAATTGATGCTTCAACCTCAAGTAATAAATGGAGTTCCAGTTAGATAACAGGATAGATTATTATGGTGTATCGAGTTTCTCGGTAAACTTTCTAGGTGCGTCATGGTTTGTGATTCTTAAGTGGTTATGCAACAAGAAATGAAGTTTAATATTTATTTTCTGAATAAGTTCAAGAACTTCAATTTTTTAAAAAAAATCCCAAGAAGGAAAAACTCAATTTATTTTGTGGGAATGAGATTTTTTAAGGATGCACATGACAAAATTTAATATAAAGAATGATAAGTTGTGGTGACATATCTTCAATTAGACTAGTTGTTTTGTCTCAGACAAAACAATGCTTTTCAAATCGAATCTTTTCAGATCTAATTTACTCAAATTGAGAACCTTAAGTGCCACATTCTTATCATGAAAGCTTCACAATCAGGATTTGACTACCAAAATCATTAGCTTAAAATCTTGCAATTGCTTAAAAAAATCCAAATGTTCAGTTCATCATTAAAATGCGCTTTATTCTCATTCTAACATCTAACTTCCCATTGTCCTGTCTAGAAAAATATAGGAAATGCGAACATCATTAATAAGAATAACAATAATGATGGTAATAATAATAAAATTGTATTAAGGAGGATTTTTAAAAACAAAACAATATAGATGAGCATCAACAGAGGCAATGAGCTTCATAGAATAATCTATACACAATGAAAAATGTATTGAGACATAATGCAATGCATGAAAATTTCATACGTGAGTCGCACATATGGCATGATGGAAATAATATGAATTTATTCATTGTTGTACATTGAAAGCAAATTTTGAACATCGAAAAAAATGAACAGAGAAATTTTTTATGCTTTTGACGATGAGAATAACAGAATTATTTAACATTATGCATTCAGCGGCTGAAAAAATTGTTTTTATTTACAATCGAATTTTTTTTTTCGGGAATGAAAATGAGGTGGAAAAAATTGCGGGTAATTTTCTTTTTAAGGCTTAAATTACTGACAATTTTTATTATTATTGTGATGGAATAATTTTCAATTGATGTCAAAACTTTGGGAATTTAATCTTTTTTTATTGGGATAAAATTTGCAGCTTTATTTTGAGCAAAGAGGGGACATTGCTCCCCTTTCAAAGAAAATGATTGAACCATTTTTGAACTGTTGTCTCGAAAAGTCTCACGAAAGTATTTCAAATTTTTTAAAACGTGTCTCATTTATGCACAAAACAACCCACTTCCTAGATGCAGACAGCAGAAATTTGTAATTGCTTTGCGACAAAAAAAGAGAAAAAAATTGTAGAAAATTGAAATTAAAATTAAATTTTTCCATTCTTCATATTATTTTCATCAACACAAAAGACAGCGAGAAAAAAAAAACAGAAAAATCAGCGCTTGTTTTCCTCGGCTTTTATGACGATAATAATAATAATGATGTTGATGGTGAAAAAAAAGAGCTTTTATAATTGTTTTATTAAGTAAAAATCTGAAGAAAGAGCTTTTTCCCCTTCTTTATTATCCTTTTTTGTACTCTCGACTATTAATCATTACGTAAATTGAAAATTTCCTCGATTCTCGCTAAGATTATTTTCTCGGAAGTGAAGTGTATTGTTGTTATCACATTGTCAGGTTCGCAACTCATTTGATGCCTTTTAATTCTGTTTATAATGGACCAAAAATGCTCAATTATTTTGTGAAATTCATAAAGACAAAAAACAGAGGAAGAGGATGTCAATGTATTTTCGAACTACTTAGTAATATAATGTGTGAAGGGCCCAGCGTTTCAGCTGAAGGCACTGCGATTCAATTTCGAACTACTTACAACAAATAGAATTTTGAAATGCATATAAGCAATTTTAGTATACTTTCAGCAAGTTTTGATTTAATCATAAAAATGCGCTTACAAACTCAAATTTACTTCAAACTCTCTGAAATGAAAAAAAAAACAACAACAAAGCCAAAAAGATTCATCATTACTTAATTTCAAATGAAGACCAAAAAAAAAGCGTGTAAAAAGAACACAAACATTAAAAAAGCTTTTTATCCTCGTACACTAAATGTTTCTATTCAAATAAGCTAAATTACATTTTTTTGTAATTCTTTTGTTTAAAACAATTTTTTTCCATCAAATAAACTTATGCATTAGACAAGTGAGGGGGTTAAAAGCAAAGCCAGCATGAAGTAAAATGAAATGGGAATGTCACAGAAATGGAAATCATCAAATATTTAATTATTTTTTATTTAATTTTTTTGTTGATATTACTTTTGTAAAATTGAGGGTTTTTTAATTATTGTTTAAATTTATCGCTGTAAAATGCCTTAAAAGCTTTAAATTTTGTTAAATAAAAATTGTGGTCTTTTGAACCTGATGACAGCTTTTAATTATTTTGTGCAAAAGTGCATGACATTGTAAATGTGGCTGCAATCAAAAGAATTTTAATTAATTTTTCAAACGTAAACTTTTAATTGATTTAACTCGATTGAAAATTAATAAAAGAGTCGTCAGTTATTTACACTTTGATTGATTGGTTGTTTTTTGGAATATATCATTTACATTGGTGGTGCTGAATTTTTCTTCACTCTGGATTATCATTATTAATCTTTACATTTGAATTCACCACAACACAATTAAGTTGAGCAAAGCTTCGCCTGGAGAGCTTACATGTTACATTTATGTCTTGAGCTACATAATTTGAGAAGAACTGTCTTATTATTGCAATTTCTTTGTTGCAAACCATCGAAGGATTGCAAATGGAAAACTTTTAGATTTTTATTATTATTCGAAGCCAGAGTTTGAAGTCAACTCGAGATTTTCATCGATTTTATATGGAGGAGTCGACTCAACTCCAAAAAAAAATTCATCGACTTCGAGTTCTGGTCAGAACAAAAGTTAAATATCGAAGCGGAACATGGTAAAGGAAGTGAGTCACGACATATCTAAAATTCAAAGGACAATGA